TGGATTGAAACACGGCGCTAGCACGTTGACATTTCAAGACTATGAATTTTGTCAAATTCTTCACCATAAATTGTACTATGTGCTTAAAGATCGATGATTTAGCAATGATTTCGAATCAGACTATAGTTTCGTGATTGTTTGCAGCTAATACCATATTTCTGCTGCCGCGTACCATGGTTTTGTGCATATTATTGGAGACTCAGCGACCGAAAACAGCATTGGTTTTGAGGGCGGCTAATGCCGTTACTCCATCCTTTGATAAAAAACGACATGCCACGGACCGGATTATTTCTCTGATAGCTTTGGTGTGTCGCATGACTTTTACGTCCAGAGTTGCTACCGTCACGTTTGACTGTATTTTACGTGTTCATTACTGCGCTTGCTATTCTATGAATGAAACGCAGCGTATAGTGGAAGCCTCGATATGATACAAGACTCTGACTTACAGCGCTGATAACATTAGCGTTGTAGGCATTGATGATAAAATGTTATGTTGATGTAAATTTGTATTAAACAATTTTTCTTCTAGATAATATATTTAAATTGCTGTTTTGGAGGTACTATGCGTGAGGAGAAAATTATCTGCCGTTCAAGACCCTCGCTATAACAACATATAAACACAGTCTCAGATGCGTATGTACCATGCATATATAACTTTTTTAACACTCAAAAATTTTCTCACGTTTTTCATACGCAAAATTCCGGCATGGACCGCACATGTGCTCAGGGTGCTGTAGCGTGACAATGAGTCATGTTGTGACGTTGTCAATAAGTCATGTTGTAACGTCAGTAAACATGTTTCATTCGATATTGTTTTGTAGCTGATATACGAAGACCATTCTCTGGTGCTATCAGCGTATCTTATCTCGGATTACACGCTTGTGGACTCTCTCACGCCTCGTATATTGCGTTATTATATATTGCTATATCACGTATATTGCTATATCACGCCTCGTTCACAGCGTTATTTTTTTATTGCGTATGATGCCTCCTATTTATTCAATAACACTGGGCTCTGCTTTGTACATGTAAACATTTGGCCACTAAACTAACTAACTTGTACATGTTCAATTAATGCCGATATCATTTGAATGCTAATGCTCAGGGAATTGTTTCTCATTCATTTGAACTTCCAGTTACTGGGAGTGCACTGTACGCGATTTGAATGGAATTGTAAATTACCTGAAGATATTTTTATGGGATTTGGCTCCTATTCTCATTTTTGTGATCGTTTCGGCTTGGGAGCTTGAAATTAGGGCTATTTGGCTGGGGTGCTCTTCTGGTGAGCCTGAAGATAAGACGTCAAGAAATCAAGAAGGAACTTGTTAACGCTGACGACTTCGTGCTTCTGTGGGAACTTGACATGGCTAAAAATGTACAGGAAAATTTTTTCCGAATGCTTCACCACCTTATCCCTGTTTTCCGTGAGATTAAAATTTCAATTTACTGGATTGAGGTCGTTAGTCTGTTTCATCTTTATTTCCAACCTCTGAGCTTTCTTTCTCATTTCAAAGCATTACTAAGAGGGTTTCAGTCATAACAAATTCTGAAGAAACGACTTTTCCACACGTTTGGTTTCTGACTTGGCTCTGTGAAGCGGCTAACAATTTCATATCATATTATTTGTTACAATTGCTAGCTCTATCAGTATTTAATGTAAATTCTTCAGCAATTTTCAAGTATCTCCTTTTCTGTGGTCCATTCTTAGGGTGAGCGTCATTTTCGTTATATAAGAAACTCCTTATAAATAATGCGCATTCAAATCTTGTTCATTTTACGAATTAAAATACCCATATCATCTATACGGGCCACGTATACTACCATTTACCAAATTCTCATAGAATAACGTCGCAACACGTCGGAGTTTAATTGTATAGTAATTTTTTTCTTAACTGAAAAAGTTTCCCTGATTTACCGAATTTCGGCTTGTGAGAAAATTTTCATAAGTTCTGACACGAAAACGTTTTGACTCCGGCGTAAGTTTTCAGTTTGCGTGGATTTTTACCGGAACTGCAATGTGATCTATTGCATTTACAATGGTTTATAATTGTCATAAATTAAACAATACCGCGGCTCTTGCAAAGCACGTCTTCTCGCTGCTTCCTTCCTAGAATGCCCAAGCTTCTGCTCTGGCCTAGCAATAATTAGTTTAGGGCTGATGCATGGCGGCGAATATGCGTAGATATTTGTTGCTTCACTCGAAACAGATGGCAGTGTCCCACTCTAACTTTGCCACTAAAGAGTAATATATTGATGCGGCTTGAATTGGAGCGAGTGAATTCGAAATTGAATCGAATTGATGCTAAGAATGTTAGACCGTTGTATCATTTTAAGTTCTGAATTCATGCGAGTAATGACTTTTGAGGTGGGATGATGTGTTAGATCCTATCAAGTTTTTCTTCTACTTTTTTATTATCTGTCGTACAAGTGATGATTGTAATCATTATGTAACTTGCCGACATCTTCGATGATGTAAGTTAAGTGCGATCTCGTTCTAAATACAGCTGTTGTTTTTTTTAATCCCCTGTTATTTTATACTAAGTAAAATTTAAAAATTGTTTTATATTATTCCACAGACGAACTATAAGCATGTACTCAAGCTCTTCGACATTTATTAATTTCTCTGTTTAAGTGAACGAAAATCTCAATTTTAAAATTATCCCTGGATTGCTGAAGCGCCATGTTTTGTCCGTTGGCCAATTAAATTAGTTGAAGTATTGAACCATGAATTTTTCAACGTTCCGCTCCACCTATGGTACTATATCTTTTTTATGAACTGCATGCCAGAAACCTTGTCATTTCTGCTCAGCGTCATTCATACAAAAGATATAATTTAAAAATTTGAATTGCGATTTACATAGATAGATCAAAAGTCCACATAGATTAAAAGTCCACATTTACGTCTTTGTTAATTTCATGCTTCTACTGTCCGCCTTTCATTCGGACTCGGGCTCTTTTTTTTTTCTACCAGCTCCAGAAGTGAACCATTATATGTTCAAATATCGGAGCAACATTTCACAGGTGACGTCGTAGCTATAGAATATTATGAACTTTTAAAAGCCTTCGTTTTTTGTCCGCGTCTGACATGAATGTCTTTCCTTTCGGCTCTTAATTGGTTTGACACAGTCTTGAGATTTGCCGTCAATTCAACGCCTCGCAAGGCATTCATCGATGTTCATCCTGATCTAAATGATAAAAATAAGGAATTCAGTTGCACGTCCTGCATCTTTTCAAGAATTGGTTTACTGTCTACTGTACTATTTACTACTGTACTATCTGTAGTACACGGTACTATTTTATATTCATTAAAAGTTTGGAAAATTAAATTCATATTCTTTTAATGAATTTTGCTCTAGTTGAACGCGAAAAATCATATTTTTTAATTAAAAAAATTTTACGTATTTTTTCCGGTCCCATTCAACCGTTTTTTAGAGTTTTTTTTTCTTGGTGTATCAAAGTGGTTCCTATTTCCGTCTCCGTCTAGTACAGGGAACAGAAATAGCGCGGATGTGATCAGAATGGCTCTTTTGTGTCGAGTATATCGGACGCTGCCGAAGTCCTTTTCAAATGAGCGGAAATTGATTTTAACGGCGATCTTCAATCATGGTCGCCTCTCTGAGAAAAGTTTACATTCCTAGACCATGTTTTAATTTTCAATTATTGGTGGGTTACCGTACTCACAACTGGTTTGATAACGCTTCCATTTCGACCAATTGCGTGGTGAAAATTCATGGCAACGTTGGAAAAATACTCGTGTTTCTTTTCAATTATTCTCCTTATAATCAAATCTGAACTATTTCTTGCAGTCGACAATACACATTCATTAATCTCTGCGCTCTTAAATGATTTTGTGTCGGATTAACGGAGTAAAATTGTTCAGTTTTAAGTAGATGATTAAGTAGATGAAATTGTTCATCTTTGGCTCAGTGCGTGGTTTATGCGGTTACGTGGGCACGGGCAGAGCTCGGAACTGACCGTGTGTGACGGTCCGAAATTGGTTTCGCTAAGATTGTTTCACGTCAGAATTCTACTTTGCAAGTGCGGTGAATGCTACATCTTGAAGGCTGGCCGTCTATGTTGAAGGCAGACCATCCATATTGAAGGCAGACCATCCATATTGAACGCAGACCATCCATATTGAAGGCAGACCATCCATATTGAACGCAGACCATCCATATTGAAGGCAGACCTTCTATATTGCAGGCAGACCGCGCTATTTCTGTAATGGGTAAAGGAAGGGTAGCGATTTTTAGGCGTAAACGACTGGACTTGTAGCAAGTGATCAGTCTTTTAATTGCCTGTCATTGCTTGTGTTCAATGAAGTTTCTATTTCATTGAATTAACTGCTTAAGTAGTAATAACCTCTAAGTTACTTGATCATAATGATGTATAAATTCAATAATAGCGAACAAGAAGACCTATACTTTAGTTGAAGTCTGAATAAAATATTGTTTCCAAGCCCTGGACAAAGTTAATTCAAACTATATGAACACTATAAGGTATTGTACCGAACAAGGTTATTGTACGTGCAGCCAGGCTGAGCTAATGTGTCAATAAGAATATCGATTTTTTGGCTGGAGGCACCCACTCCCCCGCCCCGCTGTAGACTAGCGTCGCGAGGGGGTCAATTTGGGCAGTGTTGTGCGAGCGGTCGTGAGGTGCGGATGTGTGTGTGTGGTGTCCAAGTGCTTGTGGTCCCGCCCTCTCGAGATCCGTGCTACTCTTAATAATCGGCCTTATATATTCTTGTGGTGTACGATTTTATCATGGTTTAAGTGTCGTTGAGTTTTAATATCAGGCATAAAGTTCGAAACTGTGCTTAAATATCAAGCTATTAATTGTGTTACATTTGTGTTCAACTCTTTCTTCTCTGGAGCTTGTCGTTTTTTCAAATTTTAGCCATTTTTTAAGCTGTGTAATTTTTTTTGTGCTGAAGAAAAAGATGGATTATTAAGTGTATCCCATTACTTGGTTTTTCAGGATAAAGAAGCATTGAAAAAATGAAATTTTGTGATTTGCGAGAAAAAATTTAGATATGCAGGTGTAGCGTTCTTTGTTGCTTTATAATTGCTCAGTTAATGATGAATGATACAGTCGGTGACGGATCGCTACGTACTGCTCGCGTATCTGCCCGTCAAGTTCTCGCTCAACCGAAAGTGTTTGCTCAACGCAGTTTAGTGTTGGATTAGGATGGTTACCTCCTAGCTAGTTAGAAGTCTGAGTAACCGAGCTGTTCGTTGCGACCCTCCAACGTGAAGACGACGAAGTCGACGACGAAGACGACGTGACGTGAAGACGACGAAGTGCAAGCCATGCACGTTCCTCATCCATCGCAGTGCCCCTCGTGCTACCCGTACTGCATGACCCGACCAGGGGCCGCCGCTCCCCCTGTTCCTCCTCACGGTCCCCGACACGCGCCCCCACCGGTCCACACAAGTCCTCATCGCACGCAGCCCCGGCCGTGCCAACACCCGGCGCACTTTCAGCCCCCGAGGCCCGGTCTACCAGCCCCAAGTCCTGGCTCTGTTCAAGGGGTTCCTCCTACGCTGGACTGCAGAGCAGCGCCATGCCATCCTCATCCCAGGGATGATAGGAGCGCCCCTCCTCCCCCGCCGCCCCATGCAGTCCCTCTCCCGTCATCGTCTTCAACGTATGCAAACGTGCCGACTAAACCGCGTGTTACTTTTAACCTTCAGCCTGAACATTTCGAGGGTAAAAGCGACTCTCAAGCCCCTAACGCAAAATCTCAACCTCCCATCCAGCAACCCAAAAGCATTTTGACGCACCATGGAGCTCCCGAGTCTCCTCAATCTGTTCATACGCCTTCGCCTAACAGCTCTCTTCCAAGACCAAATGTGGCACACGGTTCAGTCGATCCAGGTTCTCAACGTCCTTCAGCTGGCGGTTCTAACATCCGCTTGTATCACCAGGATGCATGTCATGCCAAAACATTGCCCTTCAAGCGTGAAGAGTTTTACCAAAACCAAGGGCCTAGCTTCAACGAAGCATCTCCTAACTCTAGGCGATTTTCTAGTCAAGAACAAATTTATGAAAGTGTAGCAGAAGATATCCGACCTCCGAATGGTCATCATCTCGAACGAGGAAGTTCTTCAGCTTCCTGTAACAGTCCAGCAGGTTGTGGCACTAGTCAAGGTCTTGCTAATAACCTGGGCTGCCCGCCAAGAATGACTCAATCCGTTGACGGGAAAAATTTCGGTAGCCAAGAGTCGTACATCAACGTTAGTCAATCAGATCCAAGGTCTCAATGGCAAGCCCGACCTTCGGATCAAGTTAACCAAAGCCATCCTGCAAATTTTGGGAGTCTTCCGAATCACGAACAGATCCCACATCAAAAACCTTTTCTCCATCAAGGCTGTGCACCATTTTCGAATCACTCACCTCCGATCCAGGGAAAACCTATTAACCCCATCAACCCTCCTAGTTGTATGCACCCGCCCATGCTCATGGCATCTCATAACCAGAGGCCTTCTCTCAATCAAGGACCTGTATCCAACCATGGCCCCCCTCCTAATCACGGTCACCTTCATAATCACGGAGCTCCTCCGAACCTAAGACCTCCTCCCCAAGGCGGAACTCTTCCTAACTACGGTCCCCCTCATAACCACGGACCTCCTCCCAACCACGGATTTCCTCCCAACCATGGACCTCCTAACCACGGACTTCCTCCCAACCACGGACCTCCTCCCAACCACGGACCTCCTCCCAACCACGGCCCTCCTCCCAACCACGGAAATGGACTTCCTCTTAAAGAAGAACCTCCTAAGCAAGGTCAACCTGTTCAAAATCGGTCGGCTCAAGAGCCTAGCCCGTTCTGTGCGAATCAACTAAGCCAGAACGTTCATGCAGGCCCAAGCGTTATTCGACCTCATGGCATGAATGTTGCAGTCATGCGTCCTCCTTGCTCTGTCATGAACCCACAAGAAAACTATTACAACGTTTCTAATGCGATTCGTCGTGATGATGCAACGAATAATTTTCCACCTCCGCGTATCCCTCCTCCGTACAATAACCCACCAGTACCCTATTCTGGTCCAAATGTGCGTCCTCGTTTTAACGAACCTGTAGGAGCAATTCATAACTGCAATCCCCGATTTTGTCAACCGACGTTGCCTCGATGTGGTCATCCTCCGCTTATGAATCGTCCAGGTGGTCCTTCGCAAGTCCCCATACTTACAGCAAACTCTTCCGTAAATCCGTGTCCATCGTGCCGTCACGCTGCTCAGGGGCTTTTCGCTAATGGCGTCAGACATGACAATTGTGGCGCGGGTGTACGAAACATGAACTTGTCTTCGATGCATGGATCCCCAAATGAACTGGGCATTCATCCCTGCAGCGGTCATAACCACCCCACACCACCGCCTGCTCCACCGATGCCTCCTGTGAATTTCAACAATAATACTCTAGGCTTCATGCGGTACAACTGCTTGGCGCATCATCAATTGGAGCCTCCACCGCCCCTTAAAATTGTTGGCGGTTGTCCTCATAACCATCACCAGCACGAGCATTACAGGTACTGCTTCAAATTCCTGAGCTACCAGTCATGAGATCATTTTTCAAATTTGCATATGACTCTCGATATTTCTCATTAGCTGGCTGTTGTTTGAATTTTGTTGTATTTCTTCCTGGAATTCCTCGTAAATAAATATCAAGTAGTATTCTTTTGTGGAATATTCCTTATGAATATAGGTTTTTCAATATTAACTAATAATTTCTGTTTGCATTGATGCTCCGCGATCTGCGTTTAAGTCAATAATCGTATGAATATCGACTACAGTATACAGGCTCTCATAAACGACGCTCCGGTCAATTCGCGTAGACGGCACGAGTGCTCGCCTTGCTATCGACGCACCGCAGTCACACAGCTCGCCAAATAAGGCTCTTGCAACGCGACAAGATAACGTCCGCTCCTGGCACTCCATTATAGGACATTTCTGGCAGCTTTAACTCCTCCTGCTCCTTTTGTACTGTCGCTTATTTTCTCGATATGCTCCTACAAATTAGTGCGTTGGTAAAAGCACGCTCCCTTCTATAGTGATCTTGATAGAATATTTTGGTCTGTGATATCTCTGTAAAAAACGAACTAACTCTCTCTTTGGCATTTGAAGCTGGATGCTTGACTAAATATTTAGATGTGATGTTGGACATTGAAGACTAGAAATTAATCTATACGGAAAAATACAAAATGTACAAAATTTTAGTGTTTGAAATAGAAGTTGAGATCTACTAAATAGACAGTACAATCATTATTTTTAACGAATATCATTTTTGTGTACTACTTCGGGTGTGGGGGTATATTATGTTACCGAGGCCATAGACTTTATCATGATAATTACATGTTGTATTTGTGTTGCAATTATTTGCGGCGAAACAAAGCCAAGCCTCGTCTTTGTTGCCATTGTAGTGAAGATGAGCCTCGTTTCTTACTTATAGCGTCGGACGTGTGTAAAGTTACCCGGTGTTTCAGGAGTGTCGCACGCAATGACGAAGGAGTTAGTGTTGGGGCTATAAAGTGTCAGCTGCGTATGATATTTATAGCGTACGGGCGCTCGTTGCGACACGCGACCTTCTCTGCAATAATCTTGCCCGACATCAACACAAGCGTTCTTGTGTTTCTTCTTGTTGCTGGGTGGCTTCTGATGTCTCTTAAGAGGATAGGCTTGAGAAATTAATGTTCTTTTATAATACCTTAGAAAATTCTCTGCCATGGTTGGGTTGGGGCAGACAGAGGATTCTTTTCCAAGCTCATGTGCTTTATTGTAGTTCTGAAGCTAGAGAGCCCGCGCTTCGCATTACTCGGACGTTACACATAAATCTTTCTCTCGTTTTAAACGCGTACAAAAAACTTGAAAGCTAATGTGTTTATGGTTCTTTATATAGAGTTAATATTTATAAACATAATTATGGCTTTTATGTTTTTTGACTCATGGTGCCATATGGCAAAAAAAAACATGGCTTTGCTTTTCTCCATGGTGCCATATGACAAGCCTGCCGTCACCACCCTGTTCTTTATGGCCTTCTTTGCTTTTTTCTGCGGCCATTACAGCCTATAATTCTCTCGCAGCTCCAATAAATGCTGGCCAGGTGCGCTCGTTCATGCCTCGTACCTGTTCCCTGAGCACATCGTAAATTTTCTGGATTTTTAACATAATTTATCGCGCGTTCATTTCGTGGATGATATGATTCTGCCTTCTCTGATAGAAAGCAGAATCTAGCATTAAATTGTATAAACAATAATTTTTCTGACGAAACTTCATTCTCCATGATGTGACTGAATGCGAGTGTGAGGACTCGTGTTGATTTCCATCAATGTAGCCCGAATGTTGTTGTATGGGTAATTGAATTGTGTAGTGCATAGAACCCTGCAAAATTTGTAACAGTAAATTGAAGCTTCAAACACTTTCACACCGCTTCCATTAAGAAATTTACGTTATAAATTAAAAGCTTATTCAATTTGAAACATATTTTACCATTTTCCTGACTCATCTACGCTACAAAAGAATTAAAAAACGTGACTGGCAACGGTCTTTGAATGGATGTTTTAGACCAAATCAAATGCCTGCCCAATCATTATATTTTGAATTGTTTCGTGCTTTAAATGAAGCTCATAAATAAAATAGCTTGAACTTTTCAAAATTATCTTGCCTCAGTCAAATTTGATATTGTTTTATATTTAATAGACCTCCCTGTTCAAACTCTGTAGCGAACTTCAGTGCAGTTGTGTCGGAATGCCATATTAGGCTCAAAGTTTGGAGCGAACCGTTGCACCCTGTAAAGTTTTTGAATTGGCTAAGCAACAACTGCGAGTGTTGCGCTCGCCAAGTTGTGTCGATTCGCTGTTGCTCGCGCTCCATGGCGTTATTTTTATTTAAGTTATTTATTCCTTTCTGCTGGAAGCTCTATGAAATTGCTCATAAAATCAATTCGTACATTTTTATTATCGGTAAAAGTAAAAACTCCATCCAAGACAGCAGTGTCATCAAAGTATGTTTGAAAACTCAACAAACGTAGTAATGATGAATATAATTACAGCGTATTAACTCTTGTTTCCATCTATGACAGAGTGCGAGGTATGGAACTATTATATTTTTTCCTCTTAATCTCACAACTAAAAGCTCAAACAAGATAGTCGGAAGTGCTGGAAACCGGCAGGTAGTCGTTAAAGGCATTTTTCATAGACCGCGCATTGTTGTCGGTCGATGTTGATTGTTACTAGTGGTCTGCTTCCGACCCTCTTCAACTGGAGATGTTGTTGGCATCCAACACTTGAACTGAAAATGGGCAGACGCTTTGTGTCGCATCACAATAGACTTTTATTCCGGTCTTGTTAGCAGCCGAGACTGTGCATGCATTTCCCCTGAGATGCTTCAATGAGCTTGGGCTGTCTATATAGCTGGTCGGAAACAAGATATAAAACTTCATCCGAAGTTTACGCAATCTTTGATGCGTCAATCTGATAATAAATGTTGCGAGAAATATTGTCAAACTGCTTATATAATTTTCAAACAGGTATTGAAAAACTCTTCTGAAATGTCACTTCTTACTTGAGAAAGCAGGCAGCATCTTGAAATTGTTTGCGTCTCGCCTTCTATAAACGTTTCTTACGCACCTGATGTCGAGGATGTTTAATTGTTCTCCATTGGCTCTGTTTTGAGCTTCACCGATAGGAACCTAAAACAGGCTGCAAGTTTCTGGTTATGCTATAATTTTTCAAACAGAAGTATTAATGCGCTAAATCAATTATACCCGCTTTTTTCTAATATTGTACGCATTGTTTATTCATGTCAAAGCCGGGGTGTACTTAAAATATAAAACAAATATCTAATATTGCGGCCGGAATAGTGTTTTCATATTCTTGGCGGTGAATTCGCTTATTTTTCATACGCATTTCGTTTGTTGTCTAGCAATACAGGGTTATTGTAAATGATGGTCCCAATTTAATAAAATTGTATTTATTTAAGTATCAATTCGAAATGAATAATTTATAGTTCAAAGGAAAGAGAAAGATTAAAATTTGTTTCAACCTATTCAAACGCACAACTAGTTTTAAACGCGTTTTTTTTAATCAGTCAATGATTAAAATGTCACTGTTCCTGTTGATATGAAAAACCGTATCACTGTACAGTGCACTCAGTAACAGAAGATATGCTTTCCCGTGTGTGGGACGTGTTTGGCTACTTTTTAGATGTTTTTCGTGCAGCACAAGGGAGAAATATTTAACTTATAGAACATTTATAAATATGTAAAAAAACTATCTTTCCATTGGGGTATAAATTATTCATTTAAAATTTATGCTTAAATAACTGCGAATTTGTCGAAAGTGGGTCCATCATTTAGAATAACCCCGTACTAGATCTCGATATACGTCAAGTTATCAGCAAACGGGACGTAGACACAGTTACGTGATCAGGTGGGTCAGTGTGTCACGTATGTTACGTCGCCGCGGGAATATCACTCATCCCGCCACCATCACTCATCCCGCCACCATCACTCAAGCGCCACCGTTCGTCGCTCACGCGGGTGCGCACTGTCTGTATGACGGTCGGCCGCTTGCCTCTGCGAAACCGACTATTGTCCGCTTTTGGTCTGCTGTTTGTTATTCTTCGTAATTTTGCTTGGTAAAACAGGATCAAGTTCCGAAGGATATCACTTCATACAATTTACCTAATTTTGAGTTGCGTTGATGAATATTCTGCTGATTTTTCCACCCGTTGCATAATTATTCTTGTGTGGACAAGAAAATTGGCGTCGAGTAACATATTTACTGTCGCCTGATCAGGCGATTCAATTTGTTAGATATATTAACTATCCTACGAATGACTAATTCAGTCCTTTCAGTCGTTACGTAAGATCGACAGATTTTCTTATCGACAGTATCATGCGAATTTCGAGTTCCTTTACTCTAAATAAACCATCTTTCCTTGAGCTCATCATGCGTAGACTACATAATGCATATGCTTCGCGTGATAACTTTACGCGTGCTCTCGCCAGCAACTCGCATCTTTTGCTCTAATAAGTGATGAGATGTCTTCGCGTTTTTGGCTCCCAGCTTGATTCGAGAAACGCATTTGGCTAAAATACAGGTCTCCATACTTTCAACTCTCGCCAAGTGAACGTAAGCACTTACGCTCTATTTTCTTGTCTATGATTGGTGGATTTTGCTTAAAAGGCCGTCAATGATTGGCTGATGAACTTACGATCTCTTAACTTTTTTTGAAAGTATGGGACCAGGTCTCCAAGTATGGCATGTCATGTGTCGAGGTCACATCGTGCGCTGTCGACCAACGTCAGATCATGACTCGTTTCCCAACTTCATTCCGTTTATGGCGAGCAAAATACAGTAAATCTCCGCCTGTGATGTGGGGGCGGTCGTTGATGATATCGGAATCACATGTGAATTCTCCTTAAAAATTGTCAGTTATGACAGAATTGGAGTAATAGTCTCACTTTATATGCGTTGCTTTTCTGTATCATTTAGGATTGTTTTGTCGTTTACTAGTAAAATATTTATTG